CTGGCTATCAAAGCTCTGGCCCGTTCCCGGAGCACACACAGGGAAAGGGGGAGGGGGGACGGGAGTCCTGAGAAGGACAAGGGCCGAGCTTCAGGAGAGGGGGTGGGGGCATGCCCCAGGTCCCCCAGGTTAGGCGGGCGCAAGGGGGTGAGTAAGCAGGCGGCCCTCGCCCCCTGCGAAGATGAGGAGTCCCTCCAGAACCAACAGAACGCGCACACCAGCAGAATGCTCCACGTCTGTCACCAGGAGGGCAGCAGGGAACAAGAAGACAGAGGCAGGAGGACAGCTCAGGGCCAAGGGGAGGGGAGTGTTGAGAGAGCAGGTGGAACAGGGCCTGCCACACAGGGGCAAGTCAGGCAGGGCACTGCTGGGGACAAAAGTGCTGAGCAAGCAAGAGAAGCCCCTGCAGGGAGGCAGGAGCTGCCCAGAGCCGGCCTCCAGCCCCTGGGCAGTGCTGGCTGCAGGGTGGCGGAGGTTTGCCCCTGGGAAGTCCCCGAGTCAGGCACAAGTCTGTCTGACAGCAACAAGGCTGAAATCTGCCCCTGGGAGGTGAGCGGAGGCCCGGAGAGGGGGGCATTAAGACAAGATCTGGCTGACTCCCGAGGAGGGAGGGGGAAAGCCCCAGAGGAATCCGAGCCTAAAGATGCGGCTGCCCTGGCGCGGAAGAAGCCAGAGAGGCTGGTCAGGGGGCGGGAGGCAGTGTGTCCCTGGGAGGATGCCCATCCCAGGGACCTGTCCCCTCAGGACTCTGAGAGAACCGAGGGCAGGTCTGAGGCAGGGGGCAATATGGAGGCTAAAGAGGTGGAAAAGTGTCCGCAGGAAGTCACAGGCCCAGAAGCGCGTACACCTGACATGGCCACGGCAGAGCTCTGTCCCTGGGAGGCAAGGGGAGGAGGAGAGAACGAGAAACCATCCCAGGAGGGAGTGAAGAAGCTCCCCCAGGAAAAGCAGAAAAGTCCCAAGAAAGCAGCCTCCGGGAAAGAACAGAAACTGGGCAGAGACTTGGAGTCTCTCTGCTCGTGGGAGAGGACTGATTTCCGTGGCCCCTTAGCAATCGCGACGGAGGCCCCAGGAACTCCTGTGGAGGTGTGTCCCTGGGAGGCAGGAGAGGCTCCTGCCATCAGGAAAGCAGAGATTTGTCCCTGGGAGCTGGGTGATGAGGAAGTGGGGAAGGAAATGCTACGTCAGGGGACCGGTGGAGACTCTGCCCAAGAAGAGGGTCAAGCCTCCAGAAACAGGCTCTTTGGGGAGGTAGGGGGTCAGACTGGGAAAGCAGTGCAGACATCTGGTCCACAGCAGGAGTCTCTGTGTCCCGGGGAGAGCACAGCCCCCGGGCACTCCAGCCCGTGTCTGGACAATTCCTCCTCCAGAGCCGGTGGCCAACTCCCCAGCAAGGAAGGAAGCAGAGCCACGCGGGTATGCCCACGGGAAGGCCTCGAGCCAGAGGGAAAGGCAGTACCACCTGCCAAGGCAGAAATCTGTCCCTGGGAGGTAAGTGAAGCAATAGAGGACTGGACATCAGGACAGGCACCCAGAGGAGGAGAATCTCAAAAGGACAAGGAGCAAATGCCTGAAACACCAGGAATCAAAGATGTCACCGCGTGGGAGAAGCCTGAGGGACAGCTCCAAAAGCGGGAAGCAGTCTGTCCTTGGGAGGGTGTGGACCCTGGCAGATTCCACCCACAACCGGGTCCTCAAGACACAGACAGACCCAAAGCCGGTTTCCAGGTGTCAGGCGATGTGGGAAGCAAAACTGCTGAAATCTGCCCATGGGACGTGGAGGACACCCTGTCTGCTGAGAAGGCAGAGATCTGTCCCTGGGAGGTGAGCGCTGGAGCGGGGGAGGAGCAAGCTCTGGGAGGTGAGGCCTTTAGGAAACTGCCAAGCATTACAGGAAAGGGTTCTGCAGATCCTGGGCCCGGTGAGGTAGCTCTTACTGCTCCAAAGAAGCCAGAGAGGCCAGCTGGGGAGCGGGAGATGGCCAGTCCCCGGGCCAGCCTGGATCCAGGCAGCTCCGCTCAGCATTCAGACCCTGGGGATACTGACAGACCAAAAGCTGGATTCCAGGAACTGGGTCATGTGGGGGGCAGGCAAGCTGAGGTGTGTCCCTGGGAAGTAGAGGAAGCATCCACCAATGACAGAGCCACGATCTGTCCCTGGGAAGTGACTGGAGGAGCTACTGGGAAGGGACTGGAACGAGAGATGGGGAGTGACTCAGCAGAGCAGAGGGAGAACACTCCAGAAACGGGGAGACTCACCTCCCTGCAAGAAGACAGATCATCAAAAAGAGAGACAAAACTGAGTCAGGGGAAAGAAGCTCCTTGTCCTTGGGAGAAGGACTTGGGGGAACCCTCTGCTCAGGCCCCGAAGGCCTCAGACTCAGCCAGCAGCATGAGTAGGAGAGTGGCAGAGGAGTGTGACCTGGAAGTCAGTGAGGAGGCAGCGGAGAAAGGAGACCTGATACAAGACCCCAAAACGGGTTCCCTCCAAGCACTCATAACCCAAGAAAAAGCTCCATCTTCAAAGGCAGAAGCCACAACTGAAGATGGGGAAAGAGCAAACAAGGAGCTACAGTCTATCTGTCCATGGGAAAGCACGGCCCCGGCCATCTTTTCCTCCAGCCCCGAAAGGCAGTGCCCTGACCAACCGAACACCGGCTCTCAGAGACTGGTCAGCGTTGGGGGCAGGCACGCTGAGGTGTGCCCCTGGGATGCTCCTGCCTCAAAGGCTCATCGGCCTGACAGCAGCATCAAAGCAGAGGTCTGTCCCTGGGAGGGGACTGGAAGAATCCCTGAAGAAGGGGTGTCCACACCGAGCGGAAAAGGGGAACCTCAAGCGGAGGGGGAAGCTCCAGAAAAACCAGAAGCTGAAGCTGGGGCAGTTGAGGAAAAGCCAGGGAGGGCAGACAGGAAGCAGGAGGCTGTGTGTCCCTGGGAGAGTCAAGACAGTGGGGGTCTGTCTCCACCACCAGCCCCACAAGCTTCTGACAGGAGCAAAGGCACTTCGGAGGCAGCAGGCGGAGTGGAGGCCCGGCTAGCAGAAGTGTGTCCATGGGAAGCCGTCGAGGTTCCCTCTGCCAAGAGAGCAGAGATCTGCCCTTGGGAGATGAGTACAGCAGCCACAGAGGAGGAAGGCCCAGAACAGGAGGCGGACAGAGCACTCCAAGGGCAAGGAGAGGTGTTCCTTCCAAAGGCAGGGTCTGGCGGGACTAGAGAACACTTTTCCAAAGCAGCAGCCAAAGGCAGCCGAGCGCAGGAGACGGTCTGTCCTTGGGCAGGCATGGATTCAGGGGGGCTCTTCCCCCAGCCAGATGCTCTGGACACTGACCAAGCCCAAGTCAGTCCCCATGGAGCAAGTAGTGTGGGGGGCAGGATGGCAGAGCTGTATCAGTGGGAAGTCACAGACCCAGAAGGAAATAAAATAAAGGGCACCATGGCAGACATCTGTCCTTGGGAGGCAACTGGAGCCCCCTCTGAGGAGCCTGGCCTCCCAGCTCTAACAGCAACGGAGACAGAAACATTTTCCCCCAGAGGCCCTGAGGACCCACCAGGCCTTTCCATCCAGAGGCCCCTGGGTAGCTTCCTTCCGGAAAGCAAGTGCTCCCGCCCCCAAATGAGCCAGCCGGCCAGCTCTTTTACTCCGGAAGGCGGCAGAGAATTCCAAGGGCCTTCAGGGCTCGGGCCAAGAACCAGCTTAGCTCCAGGGCCAACTCTCCAAGAAGCTGCGGCTCAGAATTCTTCTTCCCTAACTGAAGACCAAGGAGAAGTGGCTTCCCAAGATCCACATGAAGAACTCGTCCCTCCAACTGTCTATCCTTGGGATTGGGAGTAACAGTTCCGTTTAAACTCGTGTGAGGTCAAACATCGGGTGGCTGGCTTTCAGGAGCCAAAGTCCTAGGTGTCCCCAAAGAGCTGAAACAGACCCTTGACCACCCCTTTCCAGGAAAGCCAGAAGTCAATTCACTCAAAGACAAATTGTACAGGAAGGGTGCAGCTCAAATCCCTACAGGAAGTCGTACCCTCTCTTGATCTCCAATTCTTCCTCCTGTAGCGAACAAAGGCCAGACCCTCTGCTCCTAAAGAATCCTCCTTTCCAGCTAGAGTACGCAACACAAGCCGTCTGTGTGTAGACACTCACTTGAAAGCCAAGGTTAGGGATGAAAGGAAATCAGTAGCGCCCGCCCACACTTTCTCATGGGGAGACCCTAGTCTTCTCTGAAGTCTACAAAGGACCTTTTTGTTTTAAAGAAGAAACGAAACCACACAAGGTGCTGACTGTTCAGGGGCTGAGGGTTACAGAGGCTATACAGGTCACCATAGGAAGCTTAAGAAGCCACTTAATTGAAGTTCAAAGATAAATAAGAGGAAAAACCTAAATGGCTCAAAGGAGGTGCCTGAAAGGCCTGAAGACCTTGTCATTTTGACTCTGGATCTCCAGTTTCGGCTTAATCGATCCTCAGACCTGCCTTGTTTACTGATGAAGCAGAGCCAACCGAGCAATCTTACATCCATATCATCTGCCCTCCAAAGCAATATCAGAGACGGAGCCATATCATCTGCCACCCAAAGCAATATCAGAGACGGAGCAGAGAAGAAAAGGCAATCGCTCCAGGTCCTCCCCGCGTGGGCCAAGGTCGAGTTCTCCCTTCTAGACACTGTGTCTCCCAGTTTAGCTTTTTCAGATGGCCCCTTCTTCCTGCCCCATCTTTTGCCAGTCTAGAGTTCATCTCACTGGCTCATTCTCCCCCTCCTAGCCTTTCAGTGCCGTCATCAAAGGGACCCCTCTCTGTTGTCAATGCAACTGGAGCCAGAGGGAATCTCTGGTTCTGATGCAAGAACCACTCCAAGTCACTTGCTCAGTAACAAGAGGCCCACATCAGTCTCCTCCCAGAGAAGCCTGAGAAAGAAAGGAGGTCCTGTTTGCAGCCAGCACCATAAACTGCCCCCAGAAAGAGTAGTGCTACAGAGCAGGTGAGAGGCCTGAGGGCTGGGGAAAGGGTATCCTGTAAATACAAAGCCTTCTTTCTTACAGAGCTCTCTTGTTCTTAGCTCAGCTCTATTCTCTTAAGTCAGTTCAGGCTCCTCTTTCTTAAGCAATCCTAGATAACAGAGTGCTGGATTTAGATGATACTACCAGAGGGAAATGAGGAAAGAGAAAAACATTGGTCACAGAAGTCCCAGGACTGGCAGTGGTGAGTGGGGGTAGAAACATGCAGGCTGAACATGGCAGAACTGGGCAATGTTAACTAAACAGATACTGATGCCATTCACAGGGAGGAAAGGCAAAATAAGACCAAATACCCAACGGGGAAGAAATGAGTCTGCATGTGAATACTCTGGGCAGACACAGCAAGTCACAGAAAAAGTAGCTACATTGCCAAAAAGGAAGAAAATGAATGGAGTAACCCACATTTTCAGGAACTAAATACCCTTGTTCTCCTCTCTACAGAAGTATTTGATGTCTGTTGTTGCTCTGGGCTCTGGCTGGTTAACCCCACAGCTTCTGAACCAATGCATAGTTTGCTAACTGCGCACCTCAGAACAATCCCATTGGGTCTGGTCTAGCTGGGAACAAAAATATTGTCTCTATATCCACCGCTATGAAATAAACCATATAGAAAAAAATAAAGAATGCTTTTCCTTGGCAGTTGGTTGTAGCTTCATTCATTATGGTGATTTTCTTTTTTCAATGTTTTTAAACAAGAACGGGAATGAAAACAATGCCTGCTCTAAAGCCCAAGGTTACAACACTGCAGCCTTCAGGGCTTCCACTCTGTGGCTGGCTCTGCAAATGGCTCTGCCTGGTCTTTCTAGCCAATCCTTCACATCTGGGCCATTCGCCCATCTGGATTTGATCCCAAGGGGAAATGAAAACTGCACTTATCCTCTGGCCCCCTGTGGCAGCTACTGCGTAGCTGCTATTTAGGATTATGTAGAGACCCCGGAGACAGATCTAGGGGAGTGGGGTGAAACAGCTTATTTAAAGCACTGTTTTCACATATTCAGAGAATCGATGTATCATTTGCCCAGTAAGTCTGCTTTGTCTCTCTGCTTCCCTACCCAACCTGGGTTACCTCCCCTTACTCCTCCTGGCTGTGGATCCTGCTCAAAGCACTTCCCATCTCATTTTGCCTTAATCTGGGGATCACACAAATAGGATATGGCCAAACCTTACATGGGCTGCAAAATGATGTACATTTTAAGCCAAAGAGATTGAAACTAAGTAGCATGATGGGAGTGGCTGTTTTGGATTAACCCATCAATGCTGCCTCTTCCCTAAGCCTACACATCTTGTCTCCATAGCCAGCACTCAGCAGCTGTTGCAAAAACAACCATCTTCCCCTGTGAGGCGTGGTCGGTTTGCTGCTTTGGTGAGATGGTAGTGTTAGAAGGACTGAGGAGTTAGATTATTCTCAACCAATTCCAGTTTATTTGGATTCTACTCTCAGGTCAAGGTCAGAGCAGATTAATCCTTACCCTAACTTACAGACTCCTTAAAAGAAAATTCTAGGCTTGGAAAATACAAAGTATGAGAATTAAGGTCCTGTTTTTCCAGGGAAGGCCACACTGGGCTGACGAAGCAATAGTACTGTAAGCCAAGCTTGCTGCTGGGTACAGACTGCTTTCCCTTGTCATTAACTTCCAATGACACGGGACACCTGGGCAGTCCCACTTCTTCCTCCTGACAGTCCAGCTGGAGCTGAGGAACAAGAAGGGGCTGGGCTGTTTCACTCTACACAGGCCCACAGTCTGGTGCCTTTGCTTTCCCAGGGTTGGGCTGAAAATAGTCGCCTTCTCTAAAAGGCGATCGAAGTCAGGGAACCACATTTTACAGATGGCCTGCCCCAATGGATGAACGTCCCCCACGCTTCCTGGGATCAGACCAGGGCACAGCTGATCATCAGGAACACGTTCCAAAGGCTGAGAAATGATTTCTTCGGATTTACATTCTTCTGTGACATACGAATGCTGATTCAGTGAGTCAGTGTATGAGAAAAGATCCTCTTAAATGATACCACCTCTTATAAACAGTAATTATATTTCCCAAGTCTAGATTTCCTGGAAGTCACATCACTCACAATTAAGCCTGTTTTCCATTACTGCCATTTGAAGGCTGGTCTACCTCTAGCCTGAACCAGGGAATATGGACAGAACCAACCACAAGTGATCCAACACCGGAGGAGTGTTTTATTTCAAACTCTGATCCCTGTCCCGTGGTAAGAAAGAAAATTCTGCCAGTTTGCTCCTGACAGTCCCTGCTGCAGGAAAAACTGGTGTCAGACATTCTCTGAAACACAGTGTTTTTCATCTGGACCCAGAAGGTAGATATACAACTTAAAAGAAGTGGGTCCAGGGGTGTGCATAACAGCCACCCACCTGGGCCCGGCCATCAGCTGTGGTTATCGAGGATGAGACTGCTGTAATGACCGCAGCAGAACAGGAGAGAACAAAGATGGTTCTTTCTACAGCGTGATGGAGATGGACGACGTCACAGCTCCCAGCCACCTCATCCCCCATACTTCACCCCAGGAGTCATTTTTGCCATCAGGCTAGCTGAGACGTATGGGCCGCTCCTTGTGGCTCTTCATAGTCTTCCCCAGGTTTCAGCTGGGGGCCAGGGATCATCACCGTCTGAAAAGCAGGAAGCTGAGTTATCGATCATCCAAGCCCCAGGGTCACCCACTCACCTTCATGCCCACCCCTTCCCTGGTGCTGCATCACCCCCTCTCTCCACGAGGGGGCGCCTAACAGGACTGACAGGATACCACTACTATGGCCTCAGCTCTTGTAAATCACACAAGCTGCCTTACCTTAAGGATAGGCTGCTTGGGGGGTGCCCATGCAGGCACGATCTTGCCGTGCATTCTCCAGCTTCCATAGGGGTTTGTCAGGTGCTTTTCAAAAACAACATACTCCAGGACATCCTTGGGCACATCTTCCTGTCCGTACATCAGTCTGCCAAACCGGTCATAGATGGCCAAAGTCTGCAAGGATGAAAGCAAGTCTGGCCAGTTAATCCTCAGAACTGTTGTGTCTGGTTTTGTTTTTTTGCACACAACCATTCAAAAGACAACCATAACAAAACATTTAATGGGTAGAAAAATTATCTCAGAACTCTGAATCTAGATTAACTGATCAA